AGTTTATACCGAAGATTCTATGCACTCAAAAACTACAAAAAATAGTAAAACTTCATGCAGAATACTCATAACTAGTTGTTGCCAAGTTTTCGGATACATTTTTGTATAAATAGCTGATTTTTTTCCTATTCTACTTCTAGTTTTGAATCGCACTTGACAAAAAATGGTGACGTCAAAACCATGTTTACATACTCTGATACAAACACGGCAGTCGGCCAATCAGAACGCGCGTAGTATCCAAGTTATTTTATAAAGATTTTTGTTTACATTATTGACAATTATATAATCATACGACAACACTTTCGACATTTAGAAAGGATTCATTATCGATTTCAAGAAGAAAAAGTTATTTTGTTCTTGTAAAGAATGGGAGTGATTGTCATCATCAGTGTTGTTACTCACTAACAAGTCGCTCTCCGTCGCAGTTGTTTTGATGGTGTACGGTTTTCGATGTATGGTTTTCACCGTACGCAGTTGTGTAGATGAATAGTGCTTTTTCGTAATACTTAACTTATTCCTGTAATTGGCCTAGTTGTTTATATACACTGCCTAAGTTGTTCAAAGTATCACCTACCGATGGATGGTTTTCACCGTACGCAGCTGTGTTGATGGTCAGTGCTTTTTCTTAATACTTCATTGATTCCTGTAATTGGACTAGTTGTCGATATACCATGCCGAAGTTGTTCAAAGTATTACCTACCGATGGATGGTTTTCACCGTACGCAGCTGTGTAGATGGTCAGTGCTTTTTCGTAACACTTCATTGATTCCTGTAATTGGCCTAGTTCTTGATATAAAGTGCCTAAGTTGTTCAAGATATGACCTACCGATATATGGTTTTCACCGCACGCAGCTGTGTAGATTTTCAGTGCTTTTTCGTAATACTTAATTGATTCCTGTAATTGGCCTAGAAATTGATATACCATGCCTAAGTTGTTCAAAGTATTACCTACCGATGTATGGTTTTCACCGTACGCAGCTGTTTTGATGGTCAGTGCTTTTTCGTAATACTTGATTGACTCCTGTAATTGGCCACGTTTTTGATATACAATGCCTAAGTTGTTCAAAGTATTACCAACCGATGTATGGTTTTCACCGTACGCAGCTGTGTAGATGGCCATTGCTTTTTCGTAGTACTTGATTGATTCCTGTAATTGGCCTAGTTCTTGATATACAATGCCTAAGTTGTTCAAAGTATCACCAACCGATGTATGGTTTTCACCGTACGAAGTTGTGTAGATGATTAGTGCTTTTTCGAAATACTTCATTGATTCCTGTAATTGGCCTAGTTCTTTATATACCATGCCTAAGTTGTTCAAGGTATTACCTACCTTGAACGATGTATGGTTTTCACCGTATGCAGCTGTGTAGATGGCCATTGCCTTTTCGTAATACTTGATTGATTCCTGTAATTGGCCTAGTTCTTGATATGCAATGCCTAAGTTGTTCAAAGTATCACCTACCGATGGATGGTTTTCACCGTACGCAGCTGTTTTGATGGTCAGTGCTTTTTTGTAATACTTCATTGATTCCTGTAATTGGCCTAGTTCTTTATATACCATGCCTAAGTTGTTCAAGGTATTACCTACCTTGAACGATGTATGGTTTTCACCGTATGCAGCTGTGTAGATGGCCATTGCCTTTTCGTAATACTTGATTGATTCCTGTAATTGGCCTAGTTCTTGATATGCAATGCCTAAGTTGTTCAAAGTATCACCTACCGATGGATGGTTTTCACCGTACGCAGCTGTTTTGATGGTCAGTGCTTTTTTGTAATACTTCATTGATTCCTGTAATTGGCCTAGTTCTTTATATACCATGCCTAAGTTGTTCAAGGTATTACCTACCGATGTATGGTTTTCACCGTACGCAGCTGTGTAGATGATCAGTGCTTTTTCGTAATACTTCATTGATTCCTGTAATTGCCCTAGTCCTTGATATACATTGCCTACGTTGTTCAAAGTATCACCTACCGATGTATGGTTTTCGCCGTACGCAGCTGTGTAGATGACAAGTGCTTTTTCGTAATACTTCATTGATTCCTGTAATTGGCCTAATTCTTTATATACAGTGCCTACGTTGTTCAAAGTATCACCTACCGATGTATGGTTTTCACCGTACGCAGCTGTTTTGATGGTCAGTCCTTTTTTGTAATACTTCATTGATTCCTGTAATTGACCTAGTTTTTGATATGCACTGCCTAAGTTGTTCAAGGTATCACCTACCGATGTATGGTTTTCACCGTACGCAGCTGTTTTGATGGTCAGTCCTTTTTTGTAATACTTCATTGATTCCTGTAATTGACCTAGTTTTTGATATGCACTGCCTAAGTTGTTCAAGGTATCACCTACCGATGTATGGTTTTCACCGTACGCAGCTGTTTTGATGGTCAGTGCTTTTTCGTAATACTTAATTGATTCCTGTGATTGGCCTAGATTATCATATACATTGCCTAAGTTGTTCAAGGTATTACCTACCGATGGATGGTTCTCACTGTACGCAACTGTTTTGATGGTCAGTGCTTTTTCGTAATACTTCATTGATTCCTTTAATTGACCTAGATTAGCATATACATTGCCTAACCTGCACAAGGTATCACCTACCGATGGATTAATTGCGTTTTCATTTAGAGTTGTGATATATTTAATGTGGTCATCTTTTAACACAATCAATATTTCTCGTGCATTTGATGACGGAGGATTAGATAGTTTCAAAGCTAAAAGTACTTGACATAAATTTTGTGCTCTCTCAAAAACGTGGTGTTCGTATAAAACAAGTGAGCAGTTATCAAGAACAATTATTGTCTCATCATTTAATCCCTTCTCGCTTTCAATGCTGTTCATGACGAAATCAAAAATTCCTTTTGAGATTTTTACTAAGTGGTTCAAAAGTGGTCTTGTAGTAATCAAATTATCTACTTGTTTTTCTTCCTCTTCAATCATATTTGGAAGTGGACGAAATGCAGAAATCACAGTAAACATGTTCACCTTACGTTCTGTTATCTTTGGGTTGGTCTGTAAACAGTGGTAAACTACTTGATGGATGCTAATGTCCTTTACGTCCTTCGACAATGATAACACTAACGATGAAGAACAAATTCTTGAAGCAACATAATTTCTATCTTCATCAGGCAGGCACTTTTCCACGTACTCCACAACATACATCAAAGGGATTGGATCTGCTGCCATCACGGATACAAAACGAAATACATGGAACATTATCTCATCATTCATTTCCCTCTGAAGAGCTAAATTCACTGCGGCAGTCATTGTTGTTTTGTAGGTCAAGCTTGTTCTCTCATAAACTTTTTCTAATCTCTCTCGTTCCTTCTCAACCTGCTCCAGACATTGATGCCACGAGTACTGTTTGTTAACGGTGCGAACACTTCGCATGTAAACTGCTGTTGAGGATAAAGCAAGTGGCTGGAAGTCCAGCGCTCTTGATACTTTCAGCATGTCATCGTTATCATCATCTCTATAATCTGATACTTTACACAATAGTTCAATTGCATCGTTTTCTGTCATACCAGAACTGATTGAAATGTGATGGCAGTATGAGCTGACACTAATGGAGGGACTATCTTGTGTGGTGACAAGAATCTGTCCCTTGCCACTTGTCTTTTCTCCGCTTTGTTGCCAGTATTGAGAAAACGATTTCAGATCGACAACATTATCAACAATAATCAGCCATGATGAGTACTTGGTCACTTGCTTATCGGCAAGAGCCCTCAATTGCAGAATCTGTTCTTCCTTGGAAAGATCTTTTGATGTAGTAATGCTGGTTATGCAATCTTGATAACAGTTTAATCTCTCAGCAAACATTACATATGAGTTGAGTATTGCGTCCAAGGTAGCAGCATTAAGCGTCATCACGAATCTTAATATCTCTTTGGAGTCATCGCTATCGTAGTACTTTTCTCCGACTTGTCTTGCCATTACGCTCTTTCCAGAACCTGGATTACCAGACAAGTAAACAGTTGTCGTCTCTCTATTTTTTTCAGTTGATAATTGTTGCATCGCTTGGAATAAATCGTCAACCTCTTTAGTTCGTTCCATAGTATCATGAGAGGGTTGAGGAGGCAGCACACAAAACGATTTCGGTTCTGTATTACGTCGCTTTTCATTTTCTAATTTCTTTTTGATGTCTTCTAACTCTTTTTTGATTTTATCTATTTGTTCTTGTGTTATAAAATCAGCCCGTTTTTCTATTATCTTGAGTTTTGTTGTATCAAGATTTAACGAAGAGAGTGCTACTTTGATCTTTTGAATGGACATTTTAAACTCCAAATCATTCAGCTTTCCAACTTTTTTGTGTGCCACTACTTCATTACGAATTTCACGAAGATCATCGACACTAGTTTTCACCACAGGCCTTATGTTGGGTCCCACGCTGTCTGAGTACAGTATTGCATAAAACAAACGTGTACAGTCCCACTGTTTTCTGTCTCCACTTGACATGAATTCCAAAAGACGTTCGTTTTTCTTCTGTTTTACTGGTGACTCCATGTTATAAAAAGAGGTATAACTGACAGGCGTGTCATCCCACTGACCATGCGCAGTTGTGTATAAGGCATCCCATTCTTGTTTAAAGATCTTTCTCAGACCTTCAGGGACGATATCAACGACGATGCGACAGAGCCTGAAGAAATTGAGCTGTTCATCTGAGTATTCCATTAGGATCTGTTATTTATGGAAATAAAAGATTATTATTTTTAGCGATGTCAGTGTTTATCTTGAATGAGAGTTCATTTCCTTCCATTTTCTGTCATTATATTTTTACTTTTTGAAACTCTCAGTGGTTATATTTTTTGGTCGCTGTATTTAAGTCTTTTGTCAATCTATTGTTTACATATTTAATAAGCACCATTTTTGTTTTCATTGGAAGACTTAAAAAATGCATGTAGCTAGTATGCGAAAAGTTATAGACAAGACTAGACAATATGTTACGAATGCAAAAGAAACTCCTGTTACATTTGAAAGGAATATAATTTTTCTGACAATCGATAGGAGGCAATGCATGAGTGAATTGCTGATGATTTCTTGTGTATGCATGTGCTCACTCTTTGATAACCTAGCTACTGTGGAGATTTCATCCATCACTACGATATCAATATTCAAACTTTGCTAGAAATATCGTTGTACATTTGTTAAAAGATTTTTTTTTTTGATTTTTTGGTGTAAGGATATCATGATTTACAATTGTCATAGTTCATTTAATTTCTATGTTCTAGACCAAAGTTGTGCCTTTCAACGTCAAATTTCAGAACGTTTATTGTTTAAATTAAAATATAATTACCTGGAATATTCTATTAAGAAATCCTTTCCAAACAATTATTGTGAATATGCTGGACCATCTTGATGGTTTTGGTGCATGTATATATTGGTACTGTGCATCAATCAGTATCTACTTACATAGAATGTCTTGACAATATCTGCATAAAATGAGAAAAGGTATGAAAAGGTTACAATCAGTGAAACGTTTGAAAAGACCAGAACATTACCGTAACTACTGTGTTCAGTATCGAAATATTTCAAACTCCGCTACTCATTTACAGAGCAATGGGTTAGATAATTAACTTATGAATAATTTATGAGTTTGAAAAGTTAAAACTATACTTTATCTATATAGTGCTCATATGGAGAACACCGCATGAAATGGCTGCACACAGAAGTACTTCTGCAAAAACTTATATTCTTATGTTTACACATTCGACTTCTTTCCTGGATTACTCGACTAAAATCAAATTTAATTCAAAAATGTTGTATTTCACATTTCTTTTTATAAGACTTATAATTATAAATCCGCCATTTTTTATGACAAAAATATGTTTTCAAATTACTGGTTGCTTTCTAGGTTAGAATCGGTCAGATGATGTTTTTGGCTTTTGATAGGTACCAGTATCTCTATCCCTG